TAACGCATAGGTACTCGTCATCTCATCTATACATTGTACCCAACATTCAAACACATAGCAAATAAGAAAATAAGACCTAATCCCTCAAGCCAAGGTTAACCATGACACTTACCTCGCTCCAACAGCCAAACTCAAAGCTCAACCACGGCTTTTCCTCTCAAACGAGCCTCCGAACCGATAGAATTTAGCATATAACTAACCAAACAATTCAAATTAAGCCTTAAGAACTACCCACGATTGTAAAGAATTCAATTTAGGCCATTATTGAAAAAGTCAACTAAAAGTCGACACTCGGGCTCGCTTGGTCCAAATCCGAAATTCGGACTAAAATCCAATTACTCATACACCCCCGAGCCTGGATATATAATTGATTTTGGAATCTGACCTCAATTTGAGGTCTAAATCCCAATTTTCGAAATTCCTAATTTCTACCCAAAAATCCCCAATTCCACCATGAAACCATAGATTTTAGGTTGAAATATTGACAAATGTAGTGAAAGAGTGAAAGGAGATAGGTTAGGATCACTTACCAATTATTTGGGGAAGAAAGAGTCTTTGGAAAATCGCCTCTTATATTTCTAAGTTTGAAAATTTGAAGAATGGGAGAAAAATTCCGTCTAATTCATATTTTGTTCAGCTGCAGATGTCGCATTATGCAAAGGAGCCATGGAAAATGCGAAGCCCTTCACACCTCTACTGTCTTCTCAAATGCGAAGATTTGTCCGCAAATGCGAACTTTGAATCCTCCGCAAATGCGACCCAGTGATCGCATTTGCGATCACTGCCTACCCAACACCCACTTTGCAAATGGGGACCCTGGCCTTCACAGTCACTCTTCGCAAATGCGACGATTGGATTGCAAATGCAAACCCAACACTGGTCGCAAATGCGAGGATTGACCTCGCATTTGCGAGGTTTGAGGCCTGCAACAAAAGTCTGATGCACCAGCAATTTCTCCAAGTCTAGTTTCACTCCGTAGCCTATCCGAAACTCACCCGACCCCTCGGGGCTCTAAACCAAAAGTGCACATTAGTCTAAAAATATTATACGAACTTGCTCGCCCGATCAAATCGCCAAAATAACACCTAGAACTACGAATTTAGCACCAAATCAAATGAGATTTTCAATAAAACTTTGAAACTTCTATTTTCACAACCGGACGTCCGAATCACGTCGAACCAACTCCGTTTCTCACCAAATTTCACAGACAAGTCATAAATGTGGTATTAGACCTATATCAGGTTTCAGAACCAAAATACAGACTCGTTATCCAAGAAGTCAAACATTGGTCAAACATCTGAAATGCATTTAGCCTTTAACTATCAAATATTGACAAAGTCCGATTTCTCGGGCTAGGGACTTTCGATTTCGATTCTGGTCATAAGCCCAAGTCCCAAATCACGATACGGACTCTCCGGGACCTTCGAAACACATATCCGGGTCTGTTTACTAAAAATATTGACCGAAGTCAATTCAAATGAAGTTTTAGGCAAAATTTTCTTATCTTTAACAGTTTTTAACACAAAAGCTTTCCGGAAAGACGCCCAGACTGCGCACGCAAATCGTCTAAGGACTAAACATGATTTTTTAAGGCTTCTATCACAGAATTAGGTTTCAAAACACGAGATGACCTATCGGGTATAACAATCGAACTCCTAGATTTTAGTACTTGCATTTCGTTTCAGTGTCAATATTAAATAATATTGACTATGGCATGCTGTGATGTGTCATCTTTGACAACATTAAATCATATTATTTTAACAAAATTTAAATTACTTTATTTTTCATCTCAAATTCAAATAACTCTTATTCTCATATATTTTTTACACATTGTTTTTTCGTTTTTGCTTTGCTTATGGTTGCAACATTATTTATTAAATAATATTATTAAATTGTCATTGATTTTTACCATAAATTAAATTTTATCAAATTTAATCCGTCTTAATCCTTATTAGATTCTTCTAAATTAGTAAAAAAATTTATTTAATTTTACTCTTTTATTCTATTGTTCTTATCTTTATAATTAATGATAGAGGCGTTGTTTTTTATTTCATTTTTTTTAAAATTTTATTAATTAATATAGGTAGGCAATATCTTTACAAAAATATTCACTTTCTTTTCATTTAGATTCAAAAAAAATATTTTTAATTTAAATTAAGTATCAGTATTAATATTATCCTAAATTGCCAAGTAATTTTATAGTATGTCATTTGGCTTAATCCCAATGCAAATTTTATTCGTTATTAGTTAAAATACTTTATCTTCTCAAAAATCAAATACTCCAGTCTTATCCTTCCAAATATTTCTACGTTGAAATCATTTATTTATATATTTTTTCTCTTATTTTACTTTTTTTAAATTCAATTGTTAATATTAATGTTTAAATTTAACATATTTTTTTATAATACCTATAGTTTTATCTTTATTATTAATTAGGATAGAGGCGTTGTTTTTCTCTTTCAACTTAAGTTCTTAAAATCTTATTAATTAAAATAGGGCAGACAATATTTTTACAAAAATATTCACTTTCTTTTCCTTCAGATTCAAAAAATATATATTTTAATAAATTGCCAAGTGGCTTTATAGAAGTAGGTTGTCACTTGGCTTAATTACAATGCTAATTTTATTCGCTTATATATATCCACTCTCTCTTCTCAAAATCAAATAAGTCTTATTCTTTCATATATTTCTACATTGAAATTATTTATTTATACATATTTTTTTCTTTTTCTTTTAATTTCTTGTCCTATTGCATTACCCATAACTTAAAATTATTTGTCTCCGTGTCCGCTACTTTTTGTAATAATTTACACACACACACACATACATACATACATACATATATATATATATATATATATATATATATATATATAT